GAGTCAAATCGAGCCCGAACCGTATTAAACAGGAGTTTAAATTTAGGATTTTTCAAAAAAAAATTGATGATGTTAATTACTTGACTCTTATTTTCAAATAAATTTCAAGTAAAACAATAATCATCTAATGAACTGTGAATAACCAATCATATTTTTTGTGTTTTAATATGCAGACATTAATATCTCAAACTTATAAGATCAAGTCAAATAAATAATAGGGGCATTTACATGCATACCAACCAGTTCTTTATTTATATGTCCAGCACATAAACTTTATTTTTAACTTCTATATTACCCAATTTTTTCATTTCACATAAAACATACTACTATTTTAACTTTTAAAAGGAATTAAGTGGTATGCATATAAATTTTTCTAAATATTAATTGACAAACATCTCCACAATATTGAGCCAAATATCACTTTAAAATTAGCTCTAAATTATTGGAATAATTGTTTTATATCAGCATTTAAGACCTCCAAACATAAAAACAAGGATATACATCCCAAATCTTTCATATCACACCAAAAATACCATCATCTTAGCCTTTAAAAAGCAAAATAAGTTGTTTTGTGTAAAAAATGGGGTTTAGAAGTTAGATATGTAAATACGTATAAATTGAGGGGTATGTATGTAAATATTTAGAAAAAAAAAAAAGAAAAAAAAAAACCTTTTTGTCTCTTATATCGAGTCTTGCATTGAGGACAGACTTGATCGCCTTCTCTTCTCTCGTACTCATAGCAAGCTCTACACACCGGAAACGCGCATTCATTGCATGCAACAAAAAACTCTTTAATATTGTTCATCTCCAATATCTCAATATCTTCTCCACAAATATGGCAAATTCCGCCCCCTAATACTTGTAAAGGTTTGCCCTGACAAGACAAGAATAACACTGATCACTCATAAAGCAGATAAACCACTTCTCTCAGTAAGAAACTGATGCAATTACAAAGAGTGTGTCTGTGTCAAATGTATAAAAATATGAAAAACCAAGTGTTAGAACATAAATATAACGTAGAAGAGATTCACTACCAAAAATTTAACAACAAAATTTAAAAACTTTTTTCAAGCTGACTTCTTTAGCGCACTCACCCTCCAAGCTGAGTCCTCCGCATTAATAACCACAAACTCTCTCCCTGAGCCGGCAACAAGTCCTCCACCTGCACCCATCTCTTCTTAATTCCTCTATCTCTTTCTCTCTCGCTCTCCTTTATTTCTTCCGCACACAGCTCAGAAAGACAAACAAATTAGAGCTGCAAATCGGAAGGAAAGAACCTGAAACTTTCCTTGCGATGCTAAAAGAAGAAGGAATCCACAGGTGGAACAGGGGAGATGGAGATAAAAAAAAAAGGCACAGGGGAACGGAGAAGAATAGCAGAGAGCTTTTTGATGAAGGGTGCAGAGGAGTGAGAGAAGGTGAGGGGGTTAGGAACTTTAGTATGGCTCTTATGAGTGATAATCAATTTTTTTTTTTTAATTCATTTACTTTTTAGAAAATTATTAAAATTAAAAATATTATTATTGGTGATTGTTATAATAAATGTGATTATCTTTTTGATTATTTTTTTTAATATATATAGTTATTAGATGATGAATTTAATTATTTAAGTAGCCGTTGTTTATCTTTGTATTTTTAAGAATTAGAAGTATTGTTTTGATAACTATGTTTAAAATAAAAGTAATTGATTATTATTATTATTATAGTAATTAAATTTAAATTAATAATTGAAGTTCACAAGTGGATATTAAATAATCAAAATCACTTATTATGATAATAGTATCATTTTAATAATAATTATTATGTTGGTTATTTAGACTAAATTATAATAATTAATAACTAGAAATCAAATGTGGAGCACATTAATTAGAAGCAAAATATAGAATATCAAGGTGCCACGTTAGAGTATAGAGTGCTTAAAAGGGATAATTACATATAGGCTTTCGACTGGGGTAATCTTTTCGAACTACTGAATCGATGTATTTATGTGTGAAGCTCAAACTAGTGAGAATTTGATAAAATAAAAAATTTGGGTCTAGGTATTATGATGAATTTTGATATTTGAGTATGAATTTGAAAAATGGATGAAAGAGAGCGATTGATTAGTAACCAGAAAGTTTCAAGATGTATGTATGTAATTGCTCCAAGAAAATAGATACAGACTGTTACACCATCAACAAATTTTCACCTTTTGGTATGAATATCAAGGCATGCCACAAATTTCAAAACAATTTTTGAACAAGAAAATGTTCATACTCTAATTATAGATCATCCAGAACAACAATTTCACTTATAATAGAATTGACCAATTCGTTGAGATAGACTCAATAACACTAAAGCCGGTCCAATCTGAGTCAAATCGAGCTCGAACCAAGCTAATAAGCCACTTTTAGAAGTTTTCAGTTCCTTGTCGGAATGTCAGATGAATTCCAAACCTGACAATCTTATTGTCAAATTGAGCGTCTCAAAAAGACGACTCCAACAATCCCAAGACCACTTAGTTATGAAATCAATAAGGCACTCAAATGTCAACAGAACGTCATCCAATCGAGGGAATATCTCTGAGGCGTTTGATTGAGTGGTCCAGATTCCTTTTTTTTTTTGGCAGAAAGGCCTCTCCCAATCTTTATAATTAAATAGAACTCTACCCCTCTTGAGAATGGAACTATAAGCTTGGAGAAGGACAAGGGGAAGAAGGAGTTGAATTCAACTGTTCTACATTGAATATATGAAGAACGCTTCCCGCTCATAGAGCCATTGACCATATTTGATCACCGCTCATTGACAGTCGTCGGGCGCCCCAACTTGTTACAATGAAACCCACCCCTTGCAGAATCATGACGTGTGCTGCAAAATCCCAACTTACATTGCGGAGTAATGAGACATCCTGCAGAACACACACCTTGAAGACGGTGTAATGACGCACCTAAAGATGGTGCAAC